TGTGGTGATGAATGGATGTTTATTTGACTGAATAAGATATAGCATATCGGATGTATCTGGATAGTTAAGTTAAGCCAGTAAGGTCTGAGAGGTGGGTGACGGGAAACTGAATACTCCATGTTTTGCCATGGTCAATGGGAGGGACAATAAGTCATTTTGAACTATACTCTTAAAGGTAACGGAGAAGATATAGATCATTATCTTATGAGTAAGGTTATCCGGCAAGTATAACTGGTTACTAAAAATAGTAATAGTAATATATGTATTAGGGTGTCACATCAAGTAAGGATTAAAATAGTTATTTACATATCAACCATCATATATCCAATAGATTAAGATTCGTTTACAAATCTTGCTTGACTTAGGTGTTAATGTGTTATTCATCTAAATATGACTCAAAGTTGCACATCTACACTCCTGTAGGGAAAAGAAATGAACTTATGTCAAACAATAAAAAGAGAAAAGAAATGAATTATAATTACATTAGGAAAAAAGTAATGACAATGTGTTTTATAATTGTGCATGGAAGAATATTTAATGACGTACGGAAAATGAAAAGAGAAAGAAGTTGGAATTACATAAAAAAAGATAATGATATCATTTTAATATGCGAGAAATGCCAAATTCAATTCTAAAAATGACAAATGCATTATGTATATGTACATTACTTTTCTTGTAACTTCTTTCACCAATTGGTCACAAACATATTAAAACCATATAACCATAATTCGGTTTTGAAAAATATACAAAAGAATTTGGTGACCATTGGTGTCTTGTGATATTCTTAAACACATGAAATTTTGTGTATATATAATTGTAGCATATGACTGAAATATGTTGTTATATTTCGGATATTTATAGTAAGTATTTTCTAACAAATTGCAACATAACTACATTGGTTCACATATTTATAGTAGTTCGTACAAATAAAATGTTAAATTCTCCGTGTTCTAGAATCCAGAAGATTATTCTTTACTTTTCATTTTTCAATTTTCAAAGAAAATCACATGTCCAATTATGTAAAAGTTTATAATTGTGTACCAACTAAATTTATGTTTCGGTTTTTTTAATTATTTTTAAGAAATTATAAACAATTATGAAACGTAGTATAAACTAAAAATAATTTATTTGTAGATGTTAATGATTTTCTTATCAATGCTAAAAAATAGAATACACAATTGTAACGGTGATAGCTATTCTATTGGTTAAAAAATAGTTGTGATTAATTGCATGAAAGATATTTCAATCTATTGATTAAAAAATTGAAATGATTACAGTTTGAGCTTCTAGGTTGCATGATTAAATCTTAGTTATGGTGATTGATATACATGTTTTGTTGTGGTTAATAACATCAAATATACTTTATTCTGGTGGTTGAACATTTGAAATGATGATAGTTTAATCTCGTAGGTCGTAGGTTCAAATCCTCGTGATGATGGAAAATTGTGAAGCTTCCGTTGTCCTATGTGGCAAAAACTTGCTCCACAACGACCATAATATAAGTTAAGATATCCAACTAATCCAATTCATTTAATCCAAATTCAATTGGATTGGTGGATTCATTGATTGATCCTTGGATCTAATTGGAAAATTACAGTTTAGTACCTATACTTGTTATATTTTACATTTTGGTACCAAAAAACCCTTTTCTATGGAAAATATCATTGGAAAACTACATTTTGGTATCTAAAAATTTTATTATGACATTTTAGTATACAAACTTTTCAAATTATATGTTAGTCCAAGACTTGGATATCATTTGAATTCATAGATCAATCCATCGATCCAATCCAATTACCACCTCCAAAAAAGCGAAAGGATTTAGTAGATAAAAATATTCAACATAATTTTATCAATTTCAGTATAAACAAAGGAACAACACAAGTAAAAACCGTCAAGCTTACGGACATTTTTTTCCAGAAATAGCACTGTTTAAAATAAATTCCAAAAATGCCATCCAACCCGACACTTGGTGAGGATGCGATTTAAAACTTGGGAAAAAAGCGCTCCTCTAGTGTGCGGTTTCAACGGCTGACCTAGAACAGACTACTTGGTGATGGAGCGGTTCTTTGTCGAAAATTGAAATCGCTCCTTCACCAAGCGGTTTACGATGTCGACACACAAACCGCTTGGGGGTGCGGTTTTGTGTGTATTACCTGATAGCCAACATGTCGGCATGCAGAGGGTTGCAGACGTAGGATTGCATGTCTTGTGCAAACTGCTGTTGGGGGGCGGTTTTGCTTGACATTTTGCCTATAAAAGGTTACCATGATCCTCATTCCTACCATGAGTATCAAGAAGGAGGTGAAGGTCATCATCAATCCTTCCCATCAGGCGACGAAGAAGCGCAACGGTAACATGACAACAAACAAGAAGGCTACCAATACCGACCCGAGTACAACTTTCATTTAGACAGCGGTACTTATCACAACTACCATTATGAAGCTGATAACAGTGCCTTTCATGATCTGGATTAGATGGAAGATGCCCTGCCAGGACCAGTCAGTGACCCTGAGGATGAAGAAGAGGAAGGTGATGTCAGTGCAGACAGCTTTGTCACTCTTGAAGGTGCCGATGATTCAGGCCTAGATTCAGACTTAGATGATGATGAGATGTCTCATGACCGCGTACCTATCCCGTACTATAATCACATTCCAAATGAAAATTGGTATGTTAATGCCAACATGGAGTTGCCAGAGGTGCCACTATGGGGTCCACTCGCTGGGTTCATGAAAGGCCAACAATTTGGTACGAAAAAGGATGTGCGACACGTTGTTGTGACTGAAGTAATGACTCGAAGTTTTGAATGGCATACAACTCATTCCAACACGAAGAGACTCATAGTTAGATGTCAAAATCAACATGAGGGATGCAAGGCTAGAAGAACACTCCTCTGATCATGCCGATGAGGTATACACGCGCATAAATTTCCTTAGTTGGTGTAGAGCAAATACTTCCAATCTCTCATCTCGTCAACATCGAAAGCTGGTGGATGATCGTCCAAACACAGAACAACGCCATCGATGGGCAAATCGGTTAGGAACTTAAGATGGCGATGTCCTTCAGTGTGATGGTGCACTCGCCTTCATGAAATTTGAAGCAATGTGTCTTCTTTCGCCATCTCTCCACCAATGTTGTGATGAGTTGGCGGTCGATCTTTATCCCCATAAAGTGCCTAATCGAATCCAACATTGCCCTTCTTAGAAGGGCAAGATGGCGTCGTTCCATGGAGCACATTTATCGTACACCTATAGCGGACTATATGGTGTGCATCTTAGCAAAGAATTTAACTTTAACCATAAGTTTATGATTTATAATATATAAATCTATTATAAAAAAACAATATAAATTAAGAAAAATCAAGATATTTTCCCAAATATATAAATAATTTCATAAAATAAACATATTCAGTTAACTAAATAATTAACTAAAATGAATAGTATTTTCAAAAATAATCAACTCAAATGAATAACATTTGTACACATACACATAAATCCATTATATTAATTTGTAATTTGTATTGGTTGTTTTAAATAATTTAAAGCAATACAAGTACACTCGTTATATTCTTAGCAGAGGTATACATCTTTTTAAAAATACAGCCTTTTTGGTAGAAAAAGGGGAAATCTGAGGATCGCTTAATACCCGATTTTCCCATGAAATGGGAGGATCATGATTATCGCTTAAGATCACATTTCCTTAGACATGCATCTCTTTATAAAGAGTCTAAGTAAGTGGCACATTGTATTGCTTCAAATTATTGAAAATAATCTATATGATTAATAATTAACAAATTTATTTTACAAACCACTAACTTACGTTAACAAAATAAAAAATGACAAATGATGATAAATTATATGTACCTTGTATCGTTCCAAACATCCCTTGAACGATGGTTAGGTTGGTCGTATAGCACGGATGGATCAAGCGGTCCTTGATCAACATAATATCTTTGATTGTATATATTCACGTCATCCCCAACCTATGATAGCATAACAATAACATAAATTAATTAGTATATAGATTAAATACAAATGTAACAACAACAAAACTTTTTAAAATGAGTACGATCACTTGATAGTCATCATAATAAATATCTTCCTGTTCAAACCAATCGGTCATTTTTTCAAGAGTGTGGACAGAGTTTCGACGGGTTTTGAAAGAAAAATCAAAGAAATCTTTTCTGATAACAGTTCGAACTTAGCCGCAACCAATATACCACTATTTCCTCGATTATGGGGTGGAGAGGGGGATGGATAGAGAGATAATCTTAGAGAGAGGGTGAACAGTGGGTTTTGGTGTGAAGAAATGAAGGGGAGGCAGAGTTTATATAGCATACAAACCGCATGCTTGTGGGTGGTTTGGTCATATTCCACCAAAAGAAAATCGCTCCCCAAGCCAACGGTTTGCGTTTTTAAGCTCAAAACGCCTCTCGAGGGAGCGGTTCTTCCATCCCCGACGCAAATCGCTGAGCTGGCAGGCGATCTCCCATCGAATCGCTCCTTCATCGTGTGGTTCCGGGGAACGTTGCATGGCTAGGCGGTTCGACGACCGCCCTAATGAAACCGCAGCCTCCACATGCGGTTCTCGTTGAAACCGTTCCTTCTCCATGCAGTTTCAAATGAATGGAATTTTTGAATTTTTGTTTAAACAGTGATATTTCTAGAAATAAATCCAGCTTGCGGACAGGCAAGATACTAGTAAGACATCGATAGTTTTTCTTTCATGATGGAAAAAAGTCATATAACTCGAATTCTAAAGTCCTGTTGTTGTCTCGGTTAGAGTTAGCTTCCTTTTGATTTTGTAGGGTGACTTGTTAATGGGATGGATAGGAAGGGATTGTGGGTAGTAGTTCTTTCTAACTATTGTCTTTGACGTTACTCCGAAAAAAAATTCTAAGAGATTTTGTAAAATAGATTGTATATCACCAACCGGAACTCAGGGCAAACGAGTCTTCCCATTTAAGACTTCCTGCAGCTGCCTAAACCAAAAAGTGGAGGCCAAATCTCAGTGACAGTCGTGATCATCTTTGATTCTCAGAGAGGGAAGAAAGAAAATCAAGCAAAAAAATGGACAAAAACCCAAGTCTACAAGCTCCATTAATCGTCTACTCCTCCTCCTCCTCCTCCACAGAACCGAGCTCGAGACAGAATAGGTTCAGCAGGAATGAGATTCTGGAAGAAGTGAAGAAGCAGCTATGGCTTGCAGGCCCGCTCGTCTCCGTCAACTTCTTCACGTTTCTTCTGCAAGTCATTTCGGTCATGTTCGTCGGCCACCTGGGCGAGTTGCCCCTCGCCGGCGCTTCAATGGCCACTTCTTTCGTCTCCGTCACCGCCATATCTCTTTTGGTAAGTCAACTTTACTAAACAACCAAATGATTCCAATAACTGTGAAAATCGTAAAATTTTCTTTGTGGATCTGACTTGTAGAAAGGAATGGCGAGTGCATTGGAGACACTATGCGGGCAATCGTACGGAGCGAAGCAGTACCATCTGCTCGGGGTTCATTTGCAGCGAGCCATGATCGTTCTTCTCCTGGCTGCAATTCCCCTGTCTTTCATTTCGGGCTACGCCGAACCAATCCTCCTCTGCCTCGGCCAGGATCCGGAGATCTCGGCCGAGGCGGGGAAGTACGCGCGGTTCGTGATCCCGAGCATATTCGGGATCGCCGTTCTGGAGTCCAACGTCAGGTTCTTGCAGTCCCAGAACAATGTGGTCCCGCTGCTGGTGACAACCGGAACCACCACTCTGCTCCACGTTTTGGTGTGTTGGGCTCTGGTTTTCAAGTCCGGACTCGGCAGCAGGGGTGCCGCTTTGGCTAACGGAGTTTCGTACTGGATCAATGCCCTGTCCTTGTTCGTCTACGTGATGGTTTCTCCTACTTGCAAGCAAACTTGGACTGGTTGGTCTAGAGAGGCCTTCCATGGAATTCCAGGGTTCATTAGACTAGCCATTCCTTCTGCCATTATGCTCTGGTGATCTTGAAATGAAACCCTCTCACTCTCTCTATGTGCTCTTTTGATATGATAGGCCGCATCACGAATGATCTATATACCGCATCACGAATGAATCTTTTGTTCATATGATGTGTATGCAGCTTGGAGATTTGGTCGTTTGAGGTGATGGTTCTGTTGGGTGGATTGCTTCCGAATCCAAAGCTCGAAACTTCTGTTCTTTCCATAAGGTTTGGTTACTACATACAGCATACCTACTATAACAAAATTCGGCATCAAATGTTATAGCAATTTTTTCATGTTTGCAGCCTGAATACAAGTGCAATGATCTATATGATACCACTAGGGCTTAGTGCTTCTGTGAGGTGAGGTTTTGGTGCCATAATACATGATTAATTAGCCACTGACCCAAGCAGCGTGGATTACTAATTTGCTCTGCTTTACTTGCGTTATTTCTGTAGCACAAGGGTTTCAAATGAGTTGGGAGCTGGGAGGCCAAGAACAGCGATTCTAGCGGTATATGTTGCGCTGGCCATGGCGATAACAGAATGGACTCTGGTCGGGACCGTTCTGGTGTCTGGCCGGAACATCTGGGGTCGCTTATACAGCAAGGAAGAGAGAGTAGTGAAGTATGTTGCAGAAATGTTGTTGGTGATAGCAGCTTTCCACCTGTTCGATGCCATCCAATCCGTGCTCTCAGGTTGATCGAGAAATTCCTCTTTATCGCGATAGCATCAATTGATTTTTTTTCTTTTCACCGATCGAAAAGTAATAGTTCGCTTACTCGATCTTGTTTTTCTGAATGATCAAGGCATCTGCAGGGGATGTGGAAAGCAGAAGCTTGGGGCCGTAGTTAACTTAGGTGCATACTATATTATTGGAATTCCTTGCTCCATTCTCCTAGCTTTTGTGTACCATGTGGGAGGAAAGGTACATTATACCATTTTACTCATTATTGATTCTTTGCTCTGTGTAGTATAGATATCTGTAGGCAAGTAATCGTTTTCTATAAGATCCAATAATGATTACTTATCGGTATTAGTATCGCGTAGTTTGTCATGATTGTTCGAGTAGGAAACTTTTAACTATTGATCATCATGTGCTTTATTACAGGGTCTGTGGATAGGAATCATGATTGCAGTGATATTCCAAGCACTGTTTCTTTCGGTAGTGACTCTAAAAACTAGCTGGGAGAAGGAGGTAATATAGCTAACTCCATTGTTGACTTTCATTCTATTACCTTCATATACATTTCTTATGAAACTGTAAATCAGGCAAAGAAAGCCAAAGACAGAGTTTATGGTGCCATCATTCAAGAACAATGCCATGCGTTGCCGTAGAAGATCAGTCTGATCGAAGAAGAAGACAATACAGCTGAGGAAGGAAATGGGTTACTGCCGCCCCGGGGTGCATCTCCGTACGACGGGGAAAAAAAACAGAGCACTCTAGCAGGAGCAAATTAAGGTTGAACGGAAGAACGAGCTAACAAGAACAAGTCACTGGTATAAAGAGAAGAGGTCACTACAAATAAGCATTGTCAATTTTGTTAGTGTTATATGTGTTTTGAGACCAACTACAGTAATTTGGATATAATGTTAAGTTATTTTGTATTTAATCTTCGTTGTTTGTAGTCAGTGGCGGATCCAGGAAATATACATAGGGGGTGTCCTCTTCAAAAATTAAATTAAATAATTATTAAATATAAAAATATTTGTCCACTAAAAATTACATTAAAAGTTCATAGGTGGTTCATAAAATGTTAAAATACATTCGGTGTCTATACTGCTCAACAAATATCTCTCGACATATCTTATTAGACAAGGATATCTGATAATTGTGTTTAATCGTTAAGTTTTGAAAATAATTTGGGATAAGGATAACATTTTACTATTATATTTGGATCTAAAACACAATAACAAATGCGTTGTAGTTTGAAAATAGGTTTACTAATAATGACAGTGTCTCAAGTTTAAATCACATATACTGCTACTTAAATATTATTTGTACCAATGCGCAAACTACTACGGGAGGTTGGATAATCATTTCCCCAAAATTTAATGGTGTCCCAATACCACTTAAACAATTTTTGCTTATACGCAAACTACTATCGGAGGTTGAATAATCGTGTTTTCAAATTTTAGGGGTGTCCTGGGACACCCCTAAACATGCATGTATCCGCCACTGTTTGTAGTAGGGATGGCAATGGGTTGGGTTTGGCGGGTCGGGTTTTGCCAAACCCAAACCCATGGGTTTATCCGTGAAAAAAACCCGGGGTAAACTATCCGCGGGTTCATGGGTACCCACGGATTTTGTCGTAAAAAATTCACAATAACAAATTCCTATCAAAATTAAAGTCAAATATCAATTTCCCAATACAAATTATCCACATATAAAACACAACTCTAGAAAATTCAAGCAAATCACAAATTAACTATACAAATTGTTCAACACCAATCTAGAAAACTCAAAAAAATTGAAGCAAATCACAAATTATCCATAAATAACATGATTAATTGAAAGCTTCTTCCTTTCAATTAAGTTTTTCACTATCCACTCGATAACATCAACTTCATACTGGATAACTAGAAAGAAAAAATTAGACATGTCTCTACAAACATAAATAAGATTAGTTGTTTAGAATATTAAATATGCCGAGAAAATTAATTAAATGGGTGTGGGCGGGTACCCACGGGTCGGGTTTACCTAAACCCAAACCCAACCCGGTGAATAGTGAACGGGTTTAAACCCAAACCCGGCCCAAAACCCGTCAACACGGATTTTACCCGCGTTGACCGGGTTGGGTCGGGTGGGTACCCGTGGGTTCGGGTTTTGTTGCCATCCCTATCTGTGAGGGAGTAGTGGCAGAGGGAGGTGGAAAGGAGTGGGTCCTAGCACCCCACTCAGAAAAATAAAATAAAAATTAAATTAGTATAAGTACTTGTTGAATATTAGTATGTTATTAACATAAAACTTAGCTCTTACAAAATTTAACTCTCATCAACATTATATACATGCAAATTAATAGCACTATCGATAAGGTAAAATTAAAAAAAAAATTCTTACACTTAAGTTTAACTCGATATACATTACACTTAAGTTTAAAAATTTCTCATTCTACTAAATATGTAGGGAAAAAATTCAACTCTAACTAGTTAGAAATAATTTTTAACCCTACATGTTTGCTTTATTAATTAAAAAATATCCATTTTATAATATGAAGCTATGCGTTAGTTTGTTTTCTTGGGAAACTAATGCATATTTTAGTTAGCTATCTTAGTCACTTTTCAACTAGGATTTATACACGAAGTAAGTTATATTGCCTAATAACTGATAACTTTATGAGATGACTACTTGATATGATAAATTGAAGCGAATGTCTTTTTATGAATGAATACAAGAAATCATTCATAAATGGGATGCTTGGGTGATGTGGTTGTTTGTATCTGTGTGGCCTCTTAACTCTTAATTCAAAGAGTTGTAGGTAGGGATGGCAATCAAACCCATGGCCGCGGGTACCCGACCGCCCCATACCCAGTCAACGCGGGGAATCCCCGCTTTGACCGGGTATGGGGCGGGTATGGGTAAAACTCGCAAAAGGTTTGATGGGTATGGGGCGGGTATGGTTTTAGCCTCCCCCGCCCCATACCCATACCCATACCCGCCCCACCAAGAGAATTTCTTCACATATCAAAAAATACGTGGATTAAATTGTAATCTATCAATGATGATGATGATAACTCGAGAAAATAAATAGTAGAAATGCAATTGAGTAACCACCTTAATCAAAACTTAATTCATTTCCCTCAATTCTCCTTCCACTCTTTCACTTTCCCCCTTGTCAACAAAATTATGTTAGTTAATTATTACTTAGTAAATGTATCAAGAGTTAGAGCATAATAATTTAAAAAATATTATAGTCTATATTATGTATTAATGGATGTTTTAGGATCATATTCTTTGAATCGTATTTAGAAAATGACGGTGTTTTGTTGACTTCGTGATATGATAGGTTTGTTTATGGTTATAATTAAAACTTTTCTTGTAAGTTTTAGGTATAATAATGTTGGATGTATGGGGATGGGTATTACCCATGGGTACCCGAAACCCACGGGTATGGGGATGGGTTTGCAAAACATTCCCCCGCATGGTTATGGGGCGGGTATGGGTTTGGGTATTTGAAGATGGGGATGGGGATGGTTTAGGCAAACCCGCCCCATTGCCATCCCTAGTTGTAGGCTTGTAGCGGGGCGAGATAGCTAATGACATGGGTGGTACGTTACTTGAAAAAGTAAGATTGTTCTAGGATTTTTATTGACTATTAGGTACATTTTGCTCATAGGCCTTATAATAATAAAAATAGTACCCCAATAAAGCTTTAATATTAACTACATCATTGGGAGCGACGGCATATCCATGATATAGTTGAGCACTGTGACACATTTTATTATAAAATTAGAAATCATAAAAAAAAACTATAGTTTTTTTTACGACATTGTACACTATGCTCTTTGAATTTAGAGAATTCATCAATAACAAAGTCTTCATCCATACCAATAGCATAGTCTCTTTTAAATAAAAAAGCAATCAAGAAATTCATCACTCATTTTGTTTGCGCAAATTAGTTTTCACATGTTTTATTGTTGAAAAGATTCTCTCTGTAGTATTCGTTGAAACGAGTAATAACAACACTAGACGAATCAACTGACTAATCAATTTGTATTGTGTGTACATCCCTATTTCCACTAGCTTCTCTAGTAATTTTGCAATGAGAACAAACCTCATATTTATTTTAGTCTCTTACGTTCTAGACTTTTAGCTTTCATTGTTTTTTTTTCAAAGAAAAATCATTGGGGCTAGAATTTCTAAGTAAAATTTAGAGTAGTGATTTGAATATGTTCATATGAACTATTTTTTTTAGCTACACACAATCTTATTATAAAATAATACTGTGCCAAATGTCTAAAATTGAAAAATTCACAAGTGTTATACTATATCCCAACTTAGAGAATGTCGGAGTCGTGGCACAGGGTGGCCAACCACTAGATCCACCACTAAGTCAGACCGAGAGGAAGAACAGAGAATACCGAATTTTCGTGTGAGAGGAGACAAAAGGCATGGATTAGAGTGGAACACATGAGTTCGAGGTTTCTTTATTTGTATTAGTTTATTCTTTGAATCAAGTTTTGTGTCACGTTAGGTGACGTTAACACCTAATTCACGTATTTTTTCATTTTTTCACGCCATATTTGCGTTCTTAACGTTATTCACGTAAGAGTGTTGCTAATTCACGCAACCAGTATTGTTTAGTCAAGCAACCTGGTGTTTATACACGCATATTTTTATTTATTTACGCTGTTGTAAAATTAAATTTTAGACGTTAAAATATATCAAAATGGATGTCATTGTATATATTATGATCAATGCTACATATTTTTACAGATTAATTGAGAATTCAAATTTAATTCCATAAAATATAGCCAATGCAAATTATTAGGGGAAAAGGTCTGAATTTTCATTTACGTGAATAAACATAGTATTACGTGAATACACACCAAATAGCGTGAATGAGCACAAAAATACATGAACAAATTGACATGACGTGTTTTGTCACCTAAGGTGACAAAAGATGTTTTCCTTATTCTTTTGCTGTTTGTGTTGGTTATTGATGGTTTTTGTGCGTTAGATTAGAGAGTGAAAAGTAATAGAGTGACTTGTCAAAAAATAAGATGACTAATTAATATTCAATTCTTATTGTTAGTGTTTAGGACAAAATTTTGGATGGATGCACTTAAGTTGGGGCTCAAGATACAGTGCATAACTCATGGTTATGCACCATGGCTCAAGATAGGATGCATAATCATGGGTTATGCACCCATTAATAACTAAATCTGAACCCTTCATTTAGAAAATTCCAAACTTTTTTAATCAGTTCATATCTTCTTCGTTTTAACTCGGGTTTTAATTTTTTTGCACAGATGGAACGAGTTCATCGTTCTCTACAAAATGAGATCTATTTTCAATATTTTTTGAGAAAAAAAATATTGCCTCTCGGTACCAACTGCATATCATATGGTATCTTCTTCGTTTTTAATTCGTTTTTGAAAATGTTTGCACAGAAGGAGCAAGTTCATCATGATCTATTAGATCTACAGATTTCTAGGTGAACAAATTACAGGACCAAAAAATACCACACAATACCACCCAAGTACGGGGTGATATCTTGTGGTACACAATGTTAAAAGTCGTAAATGACAGTTAATATACTTCTACTATCATGTATTTAACCATCCTACAGTCTTGGTTTGTTCATACCACCATGGTACGCTTTTCAAACCATATGTATGCTCTTATTTCAATACGAGTCAATACCATATGGTATAGACTGGTAAAAAATAGATCAATTTTTTTTGTTCAAAAAATATATCAAAGTGGATATCATTTTGAAGAGCATAATTAATCTGATCTAACTGTGCAAAAAAATTAAATTTCGACTTAAAACGAGTGAGAAATCGTCCGTCAAAGATTATGGAGGGGAAAATTAAAGGCTTTCCAGGAGAGAGGGATGCTGATGTGGACGGGTTACTTATGGTTACTCATGGTTACTCATCATAAGGTTACTGACCCGATTTGTTCCCATGCACCATTCCATAACTAA